TTCTGGATATGAAGCTAACTTCTTCAAATTTCAGGAGCTGTTGATTCAGGATTTTGGTTTGGCCAACTATCCAGGAAAGAGCCATCTGTGAATTTCAGAGGTGGATCTAAATTCCACTAGATCTCAAGGTGTTTGGGTTTAGAGTTATGATTCCACATTACTCATTACAGAGTAAAGGATGAATAGCTAAAAAACAGCCCTTCCCTATGGGACCTCACTTCCCATAAGCCTAATTCTGTAGCTGCTCTATACATGAAACTCCCACTGAAGATCACGCACAAGTCAGTTATAGAGTCAGGACACAAAGTTGCAATTAATACAAAACAAACAGATGTGTTCGTAGGATGAAAAAAACACCTTTCCGTTCAAAATTCAACCTATCAAGTAACCCAGTCGTTCTGCACTTTATTAGTTCAAAACAATGTTATTTTTTTTTTTACTCCAAGCAGCATGGCTCAGGGTCAAACCGGATAACATATTGGGAAAATAGGAAAGAAACATCTCACTGACTGTGTCCATTTAACTGATTGCAGAAAGGCTTTTAAGCCCATTTGGGAAAATATGAAGTGTGAACAAAGCTTGACAATCATATATAAACTTTTGAGCACCAACCAAATAAAACACATAGGGCTCCATTTACCACAAAAAGATACAGCCATTCCATAACTTTCCTCTTTTGCATACACTGCTGTTCAGGATGTAATTGTGTGGGTTTGGATGATGGCCTAAAAGTATTCAGGTGTAAAAAAATTAATACCCTTCTGTTAAGGGTGACACCTATGAAAGGGTTAACTGTGTCAGTTACCAGTAGCTACTAGTTAACAATGTCTTGTTCTCCTAGTAGGATTAGCCAAGGAGAGCGTTTGGATGGTGTAATCTATTTAATATGTATCGTACATATCCAATATATATTGGTTTAGTATATTATTGTCACTTCCAGCCTACAAGGAGAGTTGTGTAGGAGAAGTTTCTCTGGAGTTGGATTGAATTGGTTCATTGTAATTTGGGAAAAAATGTCTCTCTCTTTATCTTTGCATCTTTCTGATCTCCTGTTCCTATAAATTCAGTTAAGATGAGTTGAATTAATCTGATAATAAAATCAGTTATTGTTAGATATTTCTTAAAAATTCTGGAACACTATTACTCCAAACATGGAAGTAAACTAAACTAAACGCTTAATTCATTAGCACATACCATTTTGCTGTGATTCCTACAGCTGGAAAAACAATGGTGGTAATAATATAGAAAAAGCAGCAGGATCCTCTAACAATACCCCTTGACCTCATCATCATTCCTCCTTCCCCACGTGTTATCTGCAGTCCACCATGGTATGTCGTTTTAGGACCACTATATAGCTGGATCTTGAGAACACACAGCAATGGACTGCAGGTAGAACTAGTAATGTAATTCCCTAGTGAAAACACCAGTCAGTGTAGACTGTTGCAGCCTCTGATGGACTTTACCCCTTCCCCTGGCTGCTGTTAAACCATATCTCTGATTCAGGAAGAGCCAGTGATTTGCTGTTGGGCCAATGTCATATACTATATAAAAAATAAATATTGACATGGTACCGCTGGACACTGAGGGCTTTACCGCCCTTGTCCCCTTCTCCACCTCACCTTGCAAATGACTGAGGTTGAACACAGGGCTGGGAATTGTGTTGGTTTCTGCATCTTTCTGGGACATGGCAAATTATACTTCTGCAGTGCTTAGTTGAGGGGAAAAGTCATGGAAGTGGCTCCTTTTTACTGATTTCTATGGAGTGTAATCTGTGGGAGATTGTGCATTTTTTCATTGGAATAGAGCCCTTCAGATTTCTTTCACAAACTATATGAATTTATAAAATTATTCTTTTTTTGCACAAAGCTAACCTAACTTTTCTGGAAGGAGATTGTGCACAAGACATGTACATCCTACTCTAGTTCACAACCACTCATTGCTCTTGGTAGCTTGAAGAAAAGTAACAAATGTTTTAGATAACACTACATCTTAGTTTATTTGGAAACACATTTATCTCTACTTTGCTGTAGAGATTCATCATTTTCAGTGGGGTTTTGGGACTGCGAAATCCTTCACAAAATGTAACCTAATGTAGTGTAGGGAGCAATTGTCCCTGGACAGATATACTTGATGTTTTAACATGTCTTTTCTCTCTTGAACTTCTATGATTTTCTGATGCGTTGGTATTTAACTTGATATAAATGGCCATGGTTTTCAGAAGTGACTAATGATTTTGGGTGCCCAACTTGACACACCTTAAGCAACATGATTTTCAGAAATTACCAACCAACCAGGCTCTGTTAAATGTCTCAAGTTGGGGCCCCCCAAAACTGAGGCATCTAAAATCATTAATCGCTTTTGAAAATCCTTGATTCTACTTCTAAATGAGCCACTGATTAACACTGGACAAGTCACTCAACTTCTATGCCTTACTCAACCCACGTGATAAAAAAGTAGATAAAACTAAGACTTCACTGGTAAACCAGACCTTCCAGCTGATCTGATTTGTAAATTCTGAAAATGAAAGGATCACTTTCATTACTGATACTTTAGTTCTGTTCCCTCAAGACACAAATTGCAAATGCCTGATTACAACCATGTTCATAGATGCTTAGCTCTCTTCGCTGTGCTTGTTCTTTTTAATTTAATTGTGATAAGGTGTTTTACTGCCACTACTGTGGAGATGTACCCCAATCACGAATGCCCAATCGCACAAAGGTCTGTTTTGGGACTCTCTTTTAATTGAATTTGCTGTCCAGGTCCACCTCCCATCTGGAAAATCCTGCTGATTTCTCCCCATCCCTCAAGAGAATCTGACCTTCCTAGATGTGAATCCCCAGCAATCTCTCCTATCTTGGCCAAGGACAGTCATCTACTAGAAAGTCTAAATACTCCTACTAACACCCCCCCCCCCAATCTCCAAGTCATCTCTCTCCCTCTATCAGTTGCAGCCTTGTGATTAGCCTATTATTCAGGACACCCAGCTTTCCTGATTCACCAGTATACACAAAGAGCAGTATGAAATAGCTGATTCCTCTCTGACCTTAAATTTGACACTTCTTGAGCAAGTCCCACTCCTAACACTACTTACATTCTTCCTCACCCCAGTTAATAATATATATAATATACTATAACCATCCAATATTTCTGTTAAGACACTGCACATGATAGAGAATGAGGGACTGGTCCAAAGCAATGAGAAGGTATCAGAAACTTCAGGGGCGTTATTTGATTGTCCACAGTCTGACTGGTTTTTTTTCATGTGCATTTTCCTTAAAGTTTATTCAGATTATAAACAATTTTCTGCTTTGATGCACATTTTGTACTGACCCTGCAACCAACCTGACCCAAATCTGGATATACCAAATTCTGACCGCTCCAGAGGTGAATTTGAAGGTATATGTCAGCACACATGCATATCCATATAGTACTTTGATTAAAATATTTAAAGTGCTGCTGGTGTCTCGAGGAAAACTTTAATATTTTTTCCTCCCTTATTTCTGATCCCTAAGGTACATTTTGAAGTAACATATGTTCTTTGTTTCTTAGGCCTGCTCCCCTGCTGCTCTTTAGTCTTCTTGTAGTATGGTTCTTGAAAAGAGTCTGTGACAGTGAAACAGGTTTGTTTGGAGATGCAAATGCTACATATTGGACCAATACAGCTCAGGCAGTTTGGTTTTTATACTATTTTGAATGTTTACATCTCTGAATCTGAACTAGACACTGCTTCAGCTCTTTCAGAAATGTTTAACATCTACCTTTAGTTACGTAACTCACTGATATTTTTATTGGCTTCCCCTGCTGTAACTCTTATTTCCTGTGGGTTTATATGTAATGTTTTGCTTATCCAGTATTAAGAAATGGTTGTTCAGCTTGAGAAACTTTTTTCTTTTAGGAACATTCCATTATCTTTCTTAAAGCCCAATGTTTTCACATCAGAACATCTTCATTTAACTACTTACACCCATCACAACATACACCTATAATATGGTATACTAGTCACACAGATGCACCATCTTACTGACAGCTAGTAAAGGGACAACTATATTTTACACGTGTTCATCTGCATACCAATAGAAACGTGAAACATCAATGTATCAGACCTAATTGTTTTTCCCTTAGTTTCGAAACCACTGTTTTATGTATTGCTATCTTTTTAGTACCCAAAACTTCACCTTTTATGTTTATTATTTTTAATCTTGAAGACAGAATTTGGGGATGTATTGTCTTTTTATAATACTTGGCAGCTAATGTTTCTCATGGCCGTTAAGAATCTGAGTAATAGCCCTTTTCAGCACCCTGCTTCATAAGTTAAATGATCCTGCTGCCGTCATGTTTTTCTCCCCTTGTGGACAGCAACCTATTGAGCTTGTGATACATAATCTCATAGTGCATTTAGTTGTGGTTTTAATAGTTGACTGCACTCTCAGTATTATTGCATCTCTGCAAGGTGGAGGGCTTGCAAGCAAATAAATGATGCAGTGTTTGAATTTACACCAAAAACTATAGCTGTGCCTGCTAAGAATTTAGCAGAAACCAATTTCCAAATGGACAGGTAATCTCCATTTGAATTGGGTTTAAAAGCCACATAGGACATTTGACCACAGGGTCACTGAAATGCCATAATAAAATACAAGCCAATGAGCAGGATCTTTGTTGTTCTTATCTGTTCCCTGTGAAGAACTGGAAATGAAACTACACAGCAAAGTAGTCAAATGTCGTACTAGTTCAATAAATATTTTGTATGCAACACCAGTTGTACTAAATTTGCTTCATCTATTGCTTGCACTATATACAGTATCTCTACTCTAAGGTTTCATTTTGAAAAATAGCCAAGACAGGACATTTTTATATTCACACCTTGGCATGCGTTTGAATGAAATTTGCCAAGGGAAAAAAGGTGTATAACAAATCCTACAAAGTGCTGAATTTTTAAAACCGCTATTTTAAACATTATTTGGTAAAATATACACTTTTCTAATTCACTTTTGCCACAGAGTTGTATTTGTCTTTTCAGCTATTTTTACCTATCTGTTCTGGTCATTGGACAGCTGCTATATATATATTCCTTTATTTTAAGCATGCGCATTGAGTGATCCATGCAACAGTGAAGGATTCACCATTGGTACATTCAGTACATTACTGTAATGTTTACAGTATTTCTTGATTCAACTATCAGGATGCTTTAAAATCCTTTCACCCTACTGTTTTATCCAATGAAAACATTTGAAAAAAAGACAGAATTGGTAGAGAGACTGGAGCTACATGATGTTGCATTGCGTGGCCCCACAACAATCTTTAATAATAGCTATTCCTGCTTTGGCGACGGTGGGCTTGCTTGGAGGAGGTTCTGCCTTCTTTTCTGCTGGGGTACCTGTGACATTCAGAACAGGACACCATTAAAATCTAGAGTTAGACCAAACTATTTCCTTCTGCTTTCATCACACAGTATCCTGCAGTATCACACAGGCCTACCTTCCCGACCGAGTTTATTTTACATTCTTTGAACAATGTTCTTAGTGATGTTGAAAGATACCAGCCTATGTGATGACTGATCCCACCAAAGGAACAGAAGGCTTGCCCACTCAGGTGAGAGAGGGGCCGCAGAATCCAGATATCAAACTGAAAATGGGGGATTTAGGTGTAAATCATATGGTTAAAATGAGGGAACAAGAAAGGGGAAACCAAGTAGGGAACCCCAGACAACACCCACTACTCTGAGAAGGAGTCCAAGGAATCAGTGGATACTATCTGGCAGCCCTGGAGACTGAAGTGTTCTGTTACAGTAGGGTAATGAGTGGGCACTTCAGTCTCCAGGGCTGCCAGATAGTATCCACTGATTCCTTGGACTCCTTCTCAGATTTCTACTTTCCTCAATGGCTCTACTTTGTGAGATTCCAGGGTGCCATATATCAGATGCTCACAATAGCTTGCTTGTCAGCCTGGATTGTTCTCTGCTGAATAAAAATGTTGCTGGCACTGACATTGGTCAATGTTATCCTCCATATCTCCCAATGTGTATAATAAGCCAGGATGCTGAAAAGGGATAAATCTTTGGGCTAGTGGGAGAGTCTGTGGATTTGGAATGTTCATATACAGCTGTCATAAACATACAGCTACGGGTAGCATAAAACCCCTCCTTTACCTGTAAAGGGTTAAGAAGCTCAAATAACCTGGTTGGCACCTGACCAAAAGGGGAGAAGATACTTTCAAATCTGTGGGGGAAGGTTTTTGTTTTGTGCTCTCTTTGTGTGTTCTCTCTGGGACAGCGAGGAACCAGGGCAGGGAAAATACATCTCCTAAAGCCATACCTGAACTAAGCATCTAAGAATAGAAATGGAAAGTAAGGAAGGAAATGCATTAGATTATCTTTTTGTTTTAGCTTGTGAATTTCCCTAGGCTAAGAGGGAGGTTTATTCCTGGTTTTTTTGGGTGGTTTTTTTTTTTTTTGTAACTTTAAAGTTTTGCCTAGAGGGGAATCCTCTGTGTTTTTAATCTGATTATCCTGTAAAATTACCTTCCATCCTGATTCTGAGGTGCTGCTTTTACTTTTTCTTTATAATAAAGTTCTGCTTTTAAGAACCTCATTGGTTTTTAGTGTCCTAAAAACCCAAGGGGCTGGTCTGTGCTCACCTTGTTTGCTCTCAAGCCTCCCCAGGAAAGGGGGTGAAGGGCTTGGGGGGATAGTTTGGGGAAACAGGAACTCCAAGTGGTCCTTTTCCTAAATCTTTGTCTAACTCACTTGGTGGTGGCAGTGATACCGTTCCAAGGACAAGGAAGAATTTGTGCCTTGGGGAAGTTTTTAACCTAATCTGGTAGAGATGAGCTTAGGGGGTCTTTCATGTGGGTCCCCACATCTGTACCCTAGAGTTCAGAGTGGGGAGAGAATCCTGACAACAGCACTTTCCCTTTGTTGGACTCAGGAAGAACATCAGTGGCTGGCACTTGATTGATTGTATTTCCATTGAAACTATGGTACATTTTAAAATAGCCAGACTTCTCAGTAATTAAATGTCTCCTTCATATCTTCCTTATGTGGTTTCTGTAGGTAATGATGGTGCCCAACTTATATGGTTTTGTCAGACACTCAGAACCTTCATGCTTTACTCCAGTTCCTCTTTACATACTATTCAATTACATGCACTGGGCTTCGTGTAAAGCCCAGGAAGACTTCTCTGATAGCAGTCCCTTCTTGGGTTGTTACAAAGTCCTGTCTAGAAACTTAGAGCATATTACACCCATATCCTTAGTACATATGGTATTGTAGTGTATAAGACTTTCAAGATACCTTCCAACCTGCGTAGTTCCTGTCTTGATAGACAAAAGGGTGGGTCTTTCAATTTTGTTAGCTCATGCAAGCTGGCTTTATGTGACTGAAAAGCCCAGTTAACCATCATTAAGATATAGACTAACTGTCACTATCACGTAGGAAGTCGTGCTAGCAGTAGTTAAAACTCTAGACTCCTCATAGGCGGAAACGCAGCCAGATAAAATGGTTTCAAGCACATTAATCTGCATTTTAACAGGATTTTTTTAAATCATGTTAAGCTCAGTTGATTGAACTAACATGATTGAAAAACACATTCTTTTTACTATCAAGAGAGGTGCCACCTTGCACATATGGATTTAATGTTGATGAAAATTGGAAATCCAAGTTCACTAGGTGATTTTCAAAATCTCAGCCAAAATGGCTAGAAACAGAAGCTGGCATTTCATGTTTTTTGGGGGAAATTTTATATTTTTATATTAGTTCATTTTGGTCTAAGCTGTTTTGGGGAAATTTTCAGAGACACAATTGGGAGCAAAAGCCCACCTCTCATTGACTTTCAGTGGGAGTTGGGTGTCTAGCTGCCCTCTGTGCCTTTGAAAATCTATCCCCTTTCTTGCCAGAGTTTTTCAAAGACTTTTTTCTTTCCCATTTGTTTTTAAATGTTAAACTCACTGGCAGGAGATCGTGTTACTTTGTCTAAGGGTTTTAATTTGATCCGCAGGAATTCAGCCATCTCCTTGTCTTCCTCTTGCTCTCTGTTGGTGCAAAAAGAGAAAGGGAAAAAAAAGTTGTAGAAGAAAAAGCAGCAGTTTCTACATAACTAAGAGAAACAGTCCCTTGTGTAAAGGCAAGGTCCATAAGAATCTTATTAATAGCAGTAATACTTCTTTGCTCTTATTTAGCACTTTTCACCTAAAGATCTCAAAGCTCATTAGAAACTTAATGAATTGAGAGAGAAATCCTGGCCCTATTGAAGTCAGTGGCAAAACTCTCATTGACTTCAATGGGACTGGGATTTCATTCTAATGCTCACCGCTTAATCCTGAGAGACAGGCAAATATTAGCCCCACTATGCCCCTCATTCAGCAAAGCACTTAAGTAAAGCACATGCTTTGGTGAATCAGGGCCTATATCAGTAGGAAAACCAAGGCACAGAGAAGTTAAATGGCTTGAAAAGGTCACACAGCGAATCAATGTCAAAACTAAAAACCAAACCCAATTGTCTGTAATCCCAATTCCCACCTTCTAAGCCAAGGGAGGGTAAACTACGGCCTGCGGGCCGGATCCGGCCCATCAGGGCTTTAAATCTGGCCCACGGGATTGCCAGCCCCATAGTGCAGTGGCGCCAAGGCAGGCTCCCTGCCTGCCCTGGTCCTGCACCACTCCCGGAAGCAGCCGGCACCATGTCCCTGTGGCCCCTGGGGGAGGGGAGGGCAGAGGGATCTGTGGGCTGCCCCCACCTGCAGGTACCACCCCCCGCAGCTCCCATTGGCCGGGAACGGGGAACTGTGGCCAATTGGAGCTTTGGGGGTGGTACCTGCAGGTGAGGGCAGCGCGCGGCTGAGCTGCCTGCTCCACCCCACCCCCAGGAGCCACTGCCGGACATGCTGGCCACTTCTGGGAGTTGCGCGGGTCCAGGGCAGGCTGGGAGCCTGCCTTAGCCCCCCTGCATGCTGCTGCCATCCTGGAGCCGCTCGAGGTAAGCAGTGCCAGACCGGAGCACGCACCCTGAATCCCTCCTGCACCCCAGCCTCCTACCCTGAGCCCCCTAACTTCCTGCCTTGAGCCCCCTGCTGCACCCTGCACCTCCTGCACCCCAACTCCCTGCCCTGAGCCCCAGCCCCCTGCCACACCCCACACCCCTCCTGCACCCCAACCCCTTGCCCTGAGCCCCTTCCTGCACCCCGCACTCCCTCCCGCACCCCAACCTCCTGCCCCAGCCCTGCATACAAGTTACCCACCCAGATGTCTCCCTCCGGCCAAAAAGTTTGCCCACCCCTGTTCTAACCACTAAACTAGGCTCCTTCTAGAAAAAATAGCAAAGGAACATTATGGTGTGTTATAATGCTCTCTATGTTTAAAAGCCTAAGTGAAGATTTTGATTTTATTGTCTCATGCTACGAGAACTCTCATTGAAGTCAACTAATGTTGTGGTTGTGTGAGGATGGCAGGATCAGGCCTTAAGGAAATTAACATCACTTTGCTAGCCTTTAGCATTCATGGAATTTTCATTATTATTCCATTTTTTCAATATTAAAGTGCATATTGATTAAGAAGTATTTCAGTTTAGTGTAGAAAAATCAGATTTATTAAAGTAAAAGTACCAATAAATGTTGCACGTGAGCAATAGAGAGCACTAATGCTTTTCCAACTGTATTGAGTGTATTTTCAGTAGTCTAGTAGAATGGCTTTTTTGAGGCCTTTATATTCTCTGGCTACAGATGATGCTTCATGCTTCATACACAGAACTAAGGGCTTATCTGCACTTGAAATGCTACAATGGCACAGCTGCAGCTGCACTGCCATTGTGCTTCAGAGAAGACACTATCTAGACTGACAGGAGGGGCTCTCCTGTCGACATAGGTAATTCACCTCCCTGAGAGGTGGTAGCTAGGTTGACAGAAGAATTCTTCTGTCGACTTAGCACTGTCTACACTAGAGGTTGGGTCGGCTTAACTATGTCACTTGGAGGTATGGATTTTTCATACCCTGAGCAACGTAGCTTTTCAGCTTAGACCAGGCCTAGGAGTCAGGGTTCTATTCTCAGCTCAGCAGCTGATCTCCTGCTTGATTTTGGGCAAATCTTTTCACCTCTCTTTTCCTTCCCACCCTTTGCCTGTCTGAGCTACTTAGACTTTAAGCTCCTTGGGACTCAAACTGTCATTACCATGTTTATAACACCTCAATTTTGGTTGGAGCATCTATGTGTTACAGTAATAGAAATAATTAATAATAATAACATGAGCATTATGTATGTGCAAAGACCAGTTTATACATGTATGAAAATCATTTCTTGTTAGAATTCTCTTTCAGGTTTATTTCCCCTATCTAAGGCCAGGTCTACACTCAAAAGTTAAATCAACCCAGCTACGTCACCCAGGGGTGTGAAAAATCCATGGAAGAATTCTTCTGCTTCTGCCTCTCAGGAAGGTGAATTAACTACAGTGATGGGAGAACTCCCATCACAGTAGTGAGTGGCTCCACTGAAATGCTACAGTGGCATAGCTACAGCACTGCAGCTGTACTGCTGTAGTGTTTCAAGAGTAGACTAGCCCTAAGTCCATGTCTACACTACAGCAGCACAGCTACAGCACTGCAGCTGTGCCACTCTAGCGACATAGTGTAGACATTTTTTACATTGATGGAAAAGGTTTTTCCTTCCATCTCTCTGAGAGCTGGTCTGCACTAGAAAGTTAGCTTGACCAACATCACTTAGGATGTGAAAAATTCACACCCATGAGATATGTAGTTAAGCTGATCTAAGCCCCAGTATATGCAGCACTAGGTCAATGAAAGAATTCTTCCATCGACCTAGCTACTGCCTCTCAGAGAAGTGGGTTTACTTCAGTGACAGAAGAACCTCTTCCATCGCTGTAGTAGGTGGTGTCTGTTCTACAGAATTACAGTGGTGCAGTTGTAGCACCAGAGCTACGCTGCTGTAGTGTTTCTACTGTGGGAATATAATCTGAGAAGCAGTAGCTAGGGCGACAGAAGAATTCTTCCGATCACCTACCTGTGTCTACACCAGGAGTTGGGTCAACATAACTGCGCTGTTCAAGGTGCAAACTTTTTCTGAGCTCTGAGCAACATAGCTAGGCCAATCTAATTTTTAGTGTAGACCAGCCTGAGTGGGTCTAGCCCAGCTCTTTTCATAACAGTAAAGGGCTCAGATATTTTCTTGTAATAAATTCAAAGGGACATTAATCCTCTGTAGCCATGAGCAGAAGATTAAGTAAAATTATGGAACAGGGAGAGAAAGAGACATAGTGATCCAGTTTGAATGCATATCATGTGGTCCCAGAGAGAGGCTTTTAACCTCATGCAATGTTTGAAGACACCAAAGTCAATAGAAATTTTGTCACTACAATGAGAATAGTATCAGGTACTCTATTCGGCCTGCCAAGTCTCTGAAACAAATTCAGGCACTTTCAATCCTTACCTTAATCTCTCCACCTCTGCATCATCTACAAGAAAATCTCTTTTTTGCACCAGTTTATGGATCTTCTGAATCAATTCATCCTCTCTTTGTTTCTGCATTTTTGTTTTTTCTTTTTCTGATCAAAAACAGAAAGAATAAGACAAGGGTTAGGTACTCAGATTTCTAACAACATTTGACCAATGAAAGTCAATGGCCTTTGTCCAGATTTACAGTAGGTGAGAGCAGGGCATGATCCAGGGTGATACTTTTCCAGGCCATAATATTTGAGACATTTTATTATTTGGTAAACATTCTTCCCTGCTTCTCCTGAAACCACAAGGCAACAATCCACTCTTTACAGAAAGGGTCAGGAGTGAATGGATATAGTGAGAAAGGGAAACATTTTTTTCAGTGCAAATATATAAGGTTAATCAGTAAATTGTGTTCTTGTGTTTATTTGAGATAATTATTGGCAAGTCCTAAAGACCAGCCAGTCCATAAGCCAGGATCTAGAAAGGTGACCCCAAGGCAGGTATGTAGGCTCCTAATGAAAGCAAGGCAATGCAGTCCAATGTTGCTACCTTGTTGAGGATGCTCCCTGCTACCTGGTTATTCTGACAGACTGCTTCTGCTCCAGGATGCTCCTGTTTCTGACCTTGGCTTCAGCCTGCTCCTGCTCCAACACCTGTTCCAGCCACAGCTGGTTGCCCAGCTGTCCTACCACTAGGACACTGGAGTGGGTATCAGGAGATGAGAGTTTGGCAACCGGCACTGCCACTGAGCTGCAATGTGGTGTTGGACAAATCATTGTTATGACTAGCCAGAAAACAGAAATCTCCGACTGTGAAAATCTTCATGTTTTGAAAAACGTGTTTTTCCATTTTTCCCAAATCAGGATGAAAAGTTAAAAGTGCAAAATTTTCATGGGAAGGGATTTCCAGAAAAATATCGTTTGGGGAGAATTACAGGGGAATCTTTTTGGGTACCTCCCTGGAAGGCTCTTGGCAACTTCAGTTTCCCCTGCAGGCAGAAAGAGAAATTGACAAGAGTCTTCAAGGCAGGCTGCCAGAGGCTGCGCACCCAGGCTCTGCACAGCCACTTCAGCTTGGCTGCTGGAGAGCCAGGGTGCTCAGCCACCTGCTTTTCCCTTAGGCAGAAAGGGAAATTGACAAGAGCCTTCCAGGTGGGCAGATGAGGAGCCATCATTTCAACTTTCCTAATGGAAAATCAAATTTTCTGCAAAATTTCAATCTTTTGGCAAAATGAAAAATTTCAATCTTACCAAAAGGCTGTTTTCTGTTGGAAACTCATTCCAATAGAAAATTCCTGACCAGCTCTCGTCACTGTATCTCTATTTCCCCTGCCACTCTTTGGCTGTCTTCTCTATGTAAAGTGTAAGCCCTTCAGGGCAGGGACTGTCTCTTGCGGCATGTTTGTGCGGTGCCTAGCACAATAGCTCTACTGTGATATTAATAATAAAACATTCATGAGTTCAGAACCTTTGGTAAATTTTCAATCTAGAAATCCCTCCATGGCACCATTTAGAGTTTATTTTCCTAATCTCCTTAAGAAGAGCATTTTTAAGTAAGGGCACAGTTCCATTAGAATAATGGCAAAACTCCCATTCACTTAATCTGGGAATGTGATCAGGCCTCAGATAAGATGGAGCAACCTATGTGACAGCTCTGCCTCTCCCATTGTAATTTGGTACATACAGCAGCATCAAAACATCAACTTTGATAAAAGTCAGGCACTAGAATTATTACATTATAGTGGAGCTAAATAAAACTATTATTTACCCAAAATTTCAAAAGTCAGTGTAATCAATATTGTCCTAGTTAATCAGGCAAAACCAGACTAGACCATTATCATGACTAGATTGTCTGAAAATGATCGTTTCTGTTGAATGATAGATTTGGCTGTCACATGCTAAAATTGTAAATATTAGGGCTTAGGGGAGATATAGTTCAAAAGTATAAAACAAATATAGTTAAGACAAAACTCCCTAGGGCTAAAACTGAGCAAGTGGAGCAGTGATGGGAAAGCTAGAGGCTAATCCTAGCCAATACATTTCCTTAAAGAATTCAAAATCTTTATGAGCAGAAAAAAAAGCTTCACATTAAATCAAGAATTTTTGTTTTCAGTAATGGAGTTGTGGAACTGAGCTCAGAGAAACATCAAATTGAGTCAAGTATATTGGGACACACCTACAGTGGGATGCATTCAATATATCTTGTTTATTGACCAAATTTATAAGGGCTCCTAATACGTCTAAAAAATCCAGACATTTGAAAAGAGTTGTTTATTGCAGCTTAATGATTTGCCCAAGGGCTCCAGCTGCATTTCCCACTGGAAATTTCTGCAATAAATCCACATCTTTAAAAAATGAGATAAAGGCATTTTGAAAGTTGGCTTTCAGAGCTGGAAAATCATTATTCCTTGGAGAACTGTAAGTTATGGTTTGCCAGTGAAAGAGGAAATAAACAATTTGTAATGCACAACAAGGCTACTTTGTTTTTCACGAGAAATATTTTTAGTTTTCTATGAAAATAATATCTTTTATTCAAAAGATTAAGTGTGCATGTTGTTATCAAATTCTGTCGGTGCTTCAAAGATTCCTTATTGTTATGGGCATGGGGGGGGGGAACTTGGGCATAATGTCAATGAACGCTTAATCTTAACATGTCCAGCAGCAAAAATAAAAAAGGATACTTAAAACTGACGACTGCTGGACCATGCTGCAATGAGCCAGCCTCCCTCTCCCATCCTGGAAGGTAGGGAGCAGCAGCTATTATGGCACTGTTACATCAATTGAATGGAATAAATGGGCCTGAAGAGTCAGCAGTGTTAGCATGACTCTGTCACTGTCCAACATTAAACAGCATTGTGAAGGATGGTCATTTTTTCTGCTTTTGACCAACCGACAGGAGGGGAAGAAGAAACAGGATAGTAAAGGTGGAGAAAATACAGCTTTTGTTGATGGCAAATTCCCAGAAGCAGGTCAGTCACAGACGGATGCTCTGGATTGGCAAATCTGCCACAACAGCACTGCTCTGAGCTCTGGTTTATTTCCTGGTCTGGGGTGTCATCTGGTTGATTTGGCTCCTCTCCTACTGGTCTATCTCAGGCTGGGCCAGAGCTGGCTAGAGCTGGATGAGCTGTCTCATCTGATTGTGCTGGTGCCATGTGCTACAACTGACCTCAAGGTCAAATCAGATGGAAAGCCAAGAGAGCGAGAAGATAGGAGGAAAAGAGTGGTGAAGAAAGGGGAACACGCAAGGGAAGGCGAAATAATCAGGATCTCACGTGTCTCTGGTTTATGGAGTGGTGATGACCACGTGACCCTGAGGAAGTGCCAAGGTCTGGACTTGAAGATGATGCGGTAACCTTCTGGGGCCAAAGGTGAAGGACAAAGTCCCTGGAGGGGAGTAGGATGGAGGCCTACAGGCCTTTTCCCTCCTTCAGGAATTTCCTGCCAGTTCACAGGTCCTCAGCCCCAAAAGTCTCTTTTTAAGACCTCTGAAAAGGGGTTAATGGACAGAATAGTCCATCCTCTCATTATTTGTTCACCATCAGACCTAACTTCTGACATATCACATATAGTCCATTAACTTCCAGTACAACACTCTTCTTGTTTACCAGGTATGGTCTCAACACAGTCTTTGAATTATATCAGTAAAGCCCTTTTGTTTAGATTAACTTAGTCTTTCTGTTTTTCACTTTTACTAATTTGTTTAAACAATCTTATGTAATAGTCGCAGTTGGACTTTTGTTACCTTTTTCCATCACCATTTGTTAATACAGATGACTGAACCATTCATAAGCTTCCATCCACTTTCCTCACTTGGACTCACCACTGGAGCAGGCCTGCTATGCTCCAATTGTTACACCACCACCATCTTCTCTATCTCCAGGTGAAGAGCCATCAGTGGGATCAAAACACATGGATCCACTTATGGAAGGCCAGGTCTGAAAGGGGAGAGGGCTGTGGGGACAAGCTCACATGCAGATTGTCCCCCCGCCCCACCCTTTTGGGGATCTGCTGACAAGTAAATGCAGATTGAGTGTTAGGGCTGGGTCCTACAGTCCTTATTCAGCTATCTCCTTTTACCAAAAGCCTGCTCCTGTTCCCATTTAAGTCAGTGCAACTATGTCCATTGAAACCAATGGGAGCAGGAGCTGGCTCATACACAGCACAGTCAAAATATACACGAAAGGCATGACGATTGCTTTAGTCCATGTTTCTCTAGGCTGAGAAAATCCCAGTGCTAGCATTTAGTTCTGTGCAAAGGCCAACAGCCCTATATTTATTAATCCCATTGCTTTCTCTTAATACGCAAATATTCTGTAGTGAATTTGCGAACAGCTGGCATGGCTGGAAATAAATGCTAAATAGTCAAATATGCAAATATGACTCTGAGAAAGGATTGCTGGGTGTCACGTTGTGCACAGTGTGCTAAGGTCTAAGAAAGAACTGCTGTACATTAAACTTTACTTAATTAAGATTTTGTAATTTAAGCTGTGGGAGAGTGTTTCTAGGAAAAAGTAGTCCTAAGTATAAGTAAACAGATGTTTAAATGAGAGGGTTGGCTACAGGAACACTAGTAAGAGTAGATCATTCTTACTTGTTATCTATGCAGCATTCACAATCCTTTGCAAAGGTTACCTTTAAATAAACTCTGCTTGAATTATTCCCCATTGGGTACTATTCATCCCATACGCGTGTTAGCAAAATATTGGAGGAATTGTTTGGCGCAAAAGTAGCTGAGATAATGTCAAGAAGAAAAAAAGAAGAAACATGAATGTATTTTGTTAGATGTGCATGAAATGTGGAAAGGTTCTTAGTCCACTGAGAAATGCTGCTATTTGTCTACTGGGCTCAGAGGGGGAAAATGTAGGTATGATCAGCTTCCTATTTTATGACTGATCTGCTGTTTCATTTCTGGCAAGGTTTTTTCTTCTCTTTTACCTTGTTTGCTAGCTGTGAAGTTTTTCTCACAGTGATAGGTGGAAAGATAAAGGACGAATGACTAGAAGACTCAAAACCCGCCCTAATGGTTGGGTAAAAGTAAATTATTTCTGAAAGGTACTATAGGCCCTGTACATACTTCTGGCGTAGTTGTACTTATTGGCTTGTATGAGGCATGTTTGTACATATAAGCAACAATTGTGAATCAGTGTTGTTCTGGAAGTCTATTTAAGAGTTTTTAATAACTTATGCTTAGGCCCCAGGTGCTTAAAATGGGAGCAGCAGCTTTGGTAAGACAGTGTTTAAAGAGTGTCCCTCAACAAACCAGCTCAATTTTAAAAAACTGTTTTTTGCTGGTACTGCAAACCTTTCTCTTCTCCCACCTCTCATATAAGCACTGCCTGAGGGGCCAAAATCCCAGGCGCACCACAGGAGTGCTTAGCAGACTGGGGATGTACGTGGCAACAGTGACTTTCTGCTACCTCTTCTTCCCCTCACACGTATGATCTTGGGGACAGTCAGGGAACCACTTCAGTCTGATAAAACTTAGAGCAACCTCAGTCCTGCTCTAAGCAGAGCTCTTGTGTAACACCTCCACCATCCCACCAGTGGGCATTACACCAGCAAAGATAGTTGCAGTGTGTGTGCCAGCCACCCTTTCCTACTCCAAAATGTCCCAAAAGGGACCAAGAGGATTGAGTTCAAACGGGTGGGGGGCGGGGGGAGAAGGGAGGACTCTCTCTCCACTTATGGGAGATTTTGTGCTGCCAGAAATCCCCATTCAAGATTACAATTATGCTCTGTAAATCAAGATGGGCTATTGAGTTCCAGACAACTCCACTTTCAGCTGGCACACAAGGGGGCAAGATTTTTCCTCTCAGCCCTGATTCTCTGTGACCTTGCACCTTGCCAAGTCATTTCCACCTGTACAAAGCGAGTGCAAGGCTGATTTAAAACCATTCTGACCTCAGTATCAATTTTATATTGTTGCATATAATTTGATTTAAAAAATAAAAGGCTAATTTTCTTAACGCATTTCTAGGCATTTCACCCTTCCTCAGAGGTTCTAGCTCATTGCTGAATTCAGCAAGGCTGTTGTAACCTGCCCTCACACAATGTGGCACTCTGTCTCCTTCTAGTGGTGTCTAGTGCACATATGAAAGCCTGCTACACTCTTGGCTGACAAAGATGAGTCTTTTAGCTTGGGCAGTAGACACTCATATATTTAGATGCAGAAGTCTTAGGTTCAGTCCCCTCTACTGATGACCCACACAGGGACATGGCATTACACAATGCTGCAGAACTTATGTAGAGAACCTTGCTGTGGAATCTAGATCCAGTGTTCACAGGGTCATGAATACACTGATGCATTATCCCAGAGCCTGCCAAGGGAAAGCAAATCTGCTCCATTTAATAATACAGCATGGGGTTAACAGGACAAATTGTTATGGTAAAGAAAACATCTGTCAATGCACACATTATTCTTATTAAAATATCTCTCGTCATTACAGGAACGGTTTGCTTCACTGAGTTCTAGTATCCACTGGACACAATCCTAATTAGCATTACTACATTTTTTTATTTAAGATTAACTGAAAATGCAAACACGGGATTCAGCTCCACCTGAGATTGTTAATTTTTATTTAAGCCATTCTAGGTGGGCTGTATTGTTCTTTTTCAAAGGCTCGTGGAAGATTTCATATCTAATTATAACTTCTTAGCCAAAGTTCTGTCCCAGAGGAAATTATGTTCATCTGAATGATACAAGGCCATTTCATTACTTTATTAAAAGACGAGTAGCCATGCTCTGGTAAAGCCCCACCCTTCTAATAGTTCCCATGTACTGCAGTGGAACTAATCTCATTTTCTGGATCAAAACCCTTTGCCATCCCTCTTGGCAACCAGATCACCTCTGCCTACAGTAGATTCATGGGTGAGAGAGAGGTAAACCCTGCAAAGCTTTCATTGTGGAGTGAAAGATCAGTGACTAGGAACAGGCGAAGAGTATTTCAGGTTCTTTGGTTCTGTATGTGTGAGTGTGGCACTGATTTTGCACTCATGCTTATGTCAGCAATTGCACAATCCTTTAAAAAAGTTTAACAGAGAATGAATAAAGGTTGTTCAAAAGGTGGTAAAAATAACGTACACCCCCCAATCTCAGCTGCTGAATAACACTATGTTGACTAACAGATTCACAGAATGTATAGCCAGGATACAGTGAGGAATTGAAGGTTTGGCATGAATTGATAAGATGGGGTGTACAGTAAAATCAATAGGAATGGGCCAAATTCTGCTTTTGGTCACAGATACACTGGAGTCAACAGAGCATACCCAGGGCTTATCACAGAAGTAAATGGTTGTAGGGTCAAGCCCTAGGTTCCTTTTCTGGAATAAGATGGTGGCTCAGTATTTTGAAAAGTAACAGGAGGAGTAGCTGAGCTAAAATAACAAGGAGGCCAACCTGTGAAGTCCTTACTAAAAGAAAGTTATCAATTGATTTCAGTGGGAGTTATTACTGAGTAAGGACTCCAGGACTGTGCCCAAGGAGGATTCTGCACATGCTTGGAGCAATGAAGCTGTTGAGAATTTAGGATCAGGCCCTAAAGACAGGTAAACATGGACTAGACCTTTTCCTCACCCCTCTCTGGAAAGCCCCATACTTTCAGCTGTTTTCTTAGGTTATAGCTTGGCTTATAGGGAGCAACAATTAATTACTATCTCTAGGAAACACACAAAAACCCATATCCAAGGTTTAATTTCCCATCAGACCACCACCAGGTGTTCCATATCTATCAACATTTTCCATTCTTCAGCAACTCTCCCTCACATAATGTGTCAACATAGTGTGTCAACAGTGGTTCTCATAAGATTTTCAAGGGATTGAAAGAATCTTGGAATAATTCAGCTTGTTGGAGTGATATTTGCAGTCCTGGCCATCAGAAGGGGCAGATGAAATACAGCAAAGAATTTCAGAAAAATAGAGAGCAGAAGGAAGACCAAACAGAACCTGAGAGAAAATAAAGACATTAGAAAAGAGAGCAAAGTGCAGGAAACACATGGAGAGGGATAGAAATGACAGGGAGAGGGATTGCACCTGGCTTGGGGTTGCAGTTATCTGGCCCCTAGAAGGGTTTCTGTTTTTCAAAGCACTTTGTAAGGTTGGCATAGAAATTACCTGGAATTGCTACTAAATTCTGCAGCTCCTGTTTAAGGTTCATGATGTCCTTGCACAGCTGCATGTCATCCATCCTGCAGAAACAGAAAAAGCACATCAGGACCATACATACTTGTTACATTTATTTGTGGGTCTAGATAAACCACCTGTGAAACATGTAGTACAGCCCTTTGCTTGGGACTTCATGCATCTGCTTGAGGCACAGATATTTAGCCCATGCACCAAACTGCCATCAGTCACAGACACCTTTCAATGCACAGTGTTGCAGAACAAATAACCTCCATTATAATGCCCTACCAGGTGACCTCTCCTATCAGTGCTTTTTGTACCATGCAGACCTAATCTGTATATTTTTATTGTCACATTAGCTGCTTTTTCCTTTTCTGCAGCTCACCCTACCTCTGAAAATGGGCACCTGCATATTTAATAACTCAGCAGTGGAACTGTGGTAAGGGCTACAGCAATAAGCAGGGCAATCCCCAATTGCTACAGTTCAGCTAGCATTCACTAGGTAAAAGGGAGAGTACAAGTATGAAAGAGAGAATGGTTCAGTGGTTAAGCTACTAGCCTGGGACTTGGGAGACAATGGTTCAATTCTTTGTTTTACCATTGACTTCCTCTGTGACGTTGGGCAGATCTCTCTGTGCCACAATTCCCCAGCTGTTAAAATGGGGATAATAGTATTTGTGGTGTGAAGATAAAGATTGTGAGCAGGGCCGGCTCCAGCGTTTTTGCTGCCCCAAGCGGTGGAAAAAAAAAAAAAAAAAAAAAAGCTGTGATCGGCGGCAGCTCTACCATCACTGCTTCATTCTTCGGCGGCAATTCAGGGGCAGGTCCTTCCCTTCGAGAGGGACTGAAGGATCCGCCGCTGAAGAGCCGGATGTGCTGCCCCTTTCCGTTGGCCGCCCCCAAGCACCTGCTTGCTGTGCTGGTGCCTGGAGCCGGCCCTGATTGTGAGGTGCTCAGATAGTATAATAATGGAGGCCAGATAAGTACAATAGGTAGAGAATAATGTAAGATAACTAAGCCCTGGTCTACACTACAGGGTTAGGTCGAATTTAGCCATGTTAGGTCACAGTAAGTGAGCGCGATGAGAAGAGGCACGATGCAATGCCGAGGCTAATTGGGAGCAAACGGACATGCTCAGGAGTCTGGTGGACCTGCAGGAAAGCCAACAAGAGCACAGTCCGCCACTGCATTCACTGTACAACCGCCTGCCCTCCTCCCCAAGTTCCATATTCTCTTCACCCAGACGCCCAAGAACGCGGGGGCGGGGGGGAGGCTCCGGGCACCCAGTCACTGCACTCCAGAAGATGGCCCAAGCAACAGAAGGCTGTCATTCAAACAGTTTTGATTTGTAGTGTGGCTACAATAAGCAATGTGGCCTTGTCCTTCCCTCCTCCACTCCTCTCCTACCCGACCCTACCCCACCCCACCCGGGATACCTTATCAGTTATCTCCCTTTTTTTTAATTAATAAAGAAAAAATGCATAGTTTCAAAACAATAGTGATTTTATTTCCTTTGCCAGCTGTGATCGAAGGGAAGGTGGGGTGGTTGGCTTACAGGGAGCTAAAATCAACAAAGGGGGCGGGTTTGCATCAAAGAGAAACACACACAACTGTCACACCGTAGCCTGGCCAGTCATGAAACTGGTTTTCAAAACCTCTCTGATGCGCAGCGCACCTACCTGTGCTCTTCTAATCGCCCTGGTGTCTGGCTGTTCAAAATTGGCAGCCAAGCGATTTGCCTCAACCTCCCACCCCACCATAAATCTCCCCCTTACTCTCACAGATATTATGGAGCACACAGCAAGCAGTAATAACAATGGGAATATTGGTTGCGCTGAGGTCTAACCTAGTCAGCAAACAGCACCAGCGAGCTTTTAAACGTCCAAAGGCACATTCTACCACCATTCTGCACTTGCTCAGCCTATAGTTGAACTGCTCCTTACTACTGTCCAGGCTGCCTGTGTATGGCTTCATGAGCCATGGAAGCAAGGGGTAGGCTGGGTCTCCAAGGATAACTATTGGCATTTCAACATCCCCAACAGTCATTTTCTGGTCTGGGAAATAAGTCCCTTCTTGCAGCTGCTCAAACAGCCGGGAGTTCGTAAAGATGCGAGTGTCATGCATCTTTCCCGGCCATCCCACGTTGATGTCGGTGAAACGTCCCTTGTGATCCACCAGTGCTTGCAGCACTATTGAGAAGTACCCCTTGCGGTTTACGTACTGGTTGGCAAGGTGGTCCGGGGCCAAGATAGGAATATGCGTTCCGTCTATTGCCCCACCACAGTTAGGGAAACCCATTGCAGCAAAGCCATCCACTATGACCTGCACATTTCCCAGAGTCACTACCCTTGATAGCAGAACGTCAGTGATTGCATTGGCTACTTGAATCACAGCAGTCCCCACAGTAGATCTGCCCAGTCCAAATTGATTCCCAACTGACTGGTAGCAGTCAGGCGTTGTAAGCTTCCACAGTGCTATTGCCACTCGCTTCTCAACAGTCAGGGCAGCTCTCATCTTGGTATTCCTGCACTTCAGGGTGTGGGAAAGCAACTCACAGAGTTCCAGGAAAGTGGCCTTACGCATCCGAAAGTTTCACTGCCACTGGGAATCATCCCATACCTGCAACACTATGCAGTCCCACCAGTCTGTGCTTGTTTGCCGGGCCCAGAATCGGCATTCCACTGTATCAACCAGCCCCACTGCCGCCATGATGGCCCAATTGCCACAGCCCGTGCTTTCAGGAACGTCTGTGTCCATGTCCTCATCACAATCATCCTCATGCTGCCGTCTCTTAGCCAGGTTCTGCACATACTGCAGTATAATGCACGAGGTGTTTACAATGCTCACAACAGCAGCGGTGAGCTGAGTAGGCTCCATGCTTGCCATGCTATGGCGTCTGCACGGGTAACCCAGGCAAAAAGGTGGGAAATGATTGTCTGCAGTTGCTTTCATGGAGGGAGGGAGGGAGGCAGGGGAGAGTGACAACGTACCCAAAACCACCTGCAACAATGTTTTTGCCCCATAAGGCATTGGGAGCTTAACCCATAATTCCAATGGGCAGCGGGAACTGTGGGATAGCTTCCCACAGTGCACCGCTCCGTGAGTCGATGCTAGCCATGGTAGTGAGGACGCACTCCGCCGACTTAATGCGCTTAGTGGGGACATACACAATCGACTGTATAAAATCGATTTCTAAAAATCGACTTCTATAAAATCAACCTAATTTTGTAGTGTAGACATACCCTAAAACCCAGTCCTGTGAGGTGCTGAGCATTATCAGCTCCCATTGAAGTTGATAACACCTCAGAGGGTGGCGTTCATAATTACATTATTGCACAATTCCTATTAGTCAAGCCTTTTGAATGTGGCAGAGGATATTATAGCATAGGGAATTACAAGGGGACTTTGTGCTAGAAGGCCCAGAACTGTAGCAGACTCATATGAGACACAATCAGGGAGAGAGAAAAGGATAATAAAATCAAACTATAGAAGTAAGTGAGGAGTGGGAAAGTAGGCATTTCTGTCACAAGCAAGATCTTAATCACAAATTGAGCCCACATCCTCCCTCAGTCCCCTACACTGAACACTGGCCTCCTCAAAGACCTATCCCTCAGCTGCTTTTATTGCTATTAAAACATGCTGATCCCTTTATTGCTTGCTGCTTTGCTTATCTCCATCTTGCCTGCTCCTTTGTTTATGTAAGAAGGGAGCAATGACTATTCCTTCCAGTTCTGGTTTCTGTCCTCACAGATGGTGTCAGTGGGATAATCTTCATTATGACCTCCTTCCTTTCTTCCCCATCAGTTCCAAATGCCCCTGTGCACCTCAGCCAGGAAGCAACACATCCTCCAGGATCTCTGCCTGTACAGTGTGCCGACAGGATGAGAGCCTTGCTCTTCCTATATCATGTTTAATCTTCACCCTGTGGCCTAATCACCTAATCACTAATTCACTATTATATTTGTACCCAATTCACAAAGAGGCAGAAACCTTCATGCTGAAGGATATTTTCCTCTCAGGTTCTCCACATTGTTCATGCTGATCATGAGCAAAGTCTGTTTCATTATGCTGAATGGTACTGAAATTACTTTTATCAATTAATAATCTTAAACAGTATGTCCTGTAGGAGACTCAGTAATAAAATGTGCTGGGGAGTAAGCAAAATACATAGCTCCTCATCCATTTTGTATTTGTACAGTTTGGGTGTTGTGTACTACTGTAATATATTTGAATAAAATGACTTCTCAGGAAGGAGACATTTTTCTCAGGAGGAAGATGTTCAGTATTTACCTGCTATTTTCGGCTCGTGGCTACAGGCCAGATCCTCAGCTGGTGTAAAGTGGTGTAGTTCCAGTGCAGTCAATTCATACCAGCTGAGGATCTGGCCCATAATATTTACTTTTAAAAATTCTTCTTCCACCATATAAATTGGTCCCAATTTGGAAAACCTGGGACAGAGAGCAGGGCCGGCTCTAAGTTTTTTGCCGCCCCAAGCAAAAAAAAATTTGGCTGCCCCCCCCCCCCTCCCCCCCCAGCCCTGGGTTCTCTCCCCCCCCCCCCCGACCCGCACCCTCTGCCACCTCAGCGCTGGGCTCTTCCCCGCTACCCCAACCCAGCTGCACCCCCTGCCACCCCAGCCCTGGGCTCCCCCCCACCAGTGCTGACTCTGCCCACTCCCCCCTTGCCTCCAGCCAGTCTGGCACTGGCAGGGTCGGGGAAAGCAGCGAGGCTCCCGGGCCGTGCCTCAGCCCAGGGTCCCTCCAGCCAGGGCTCCCGCCTCCAGGACCAGCTGGGACCGGGAGGGCAGAGCCGGGGGACCACCCCGGCAGGGGGCTGAGGAGCCGGGGCAGGGTGGCCCCAGAGGGAGCAGAGCCCCGGAGAGCGGGACACGGGCCCTGCACGGCAGCGCCCCACCCTCTATGGCCCCGCTGCTGCTTCTGGCCGCCCTGCCGCAGTCCCTGGGTGGCTTAGGCCGCTTCACCCAGCCCCGGCTGCGGCGCTGGGGGG